ACCCCACGAAAAAAAAAAAAAAAAAAAAAAAAAAAAGAAAAGAAAAGAAAAGAAAAGAAAGATATAAAAAACCCCCAAACAACAGGGCCAGGGATTTAGCTCAGTGGGGCCATGCCTACCTTACAAGCACAAGGTCCTGAGTTTGACCTCCTGGTACCAAAAAGAAAAAAAAAGAAAAAGAAAACCCAACACAACAAGACAAGCAGCCAATGCAGGTGCTCTCTCCACTCCACAGAACACAGGATAGGATGTTGCCAAAGTAGAGATAAGTGACAGGCCCTTGCAGCCCTGCTACCCATAGCCACAGGACCACAGAAATAACAAGAAGCCAGTAGCTGCCCTGCTGTTCTCATCACCACCCTGTTTATCAGCCAGGCCCAGGCCCATCACCCAAATCACTCTGAAATTTTCCACCCTCTTGGCCCACAGTGACCCCTCCCTTGCTTAAATTCCCTATATCAACCATGAGCACCCTCCTCTCAGTGCCAATGGCCTTTTCACTATTGGCTTATTTGCACCCAAGTGGCAATAAACTCATTGCATATTGTTTAACTTTGCCTGTCTCAGTGAGCTCAATTGTTCCTCAGTCCAACCTTCCAATAACTACAAAGTATGGCGTCTTTTCAATGCCAAGACACCTGAAAATATGCACATGTCTGCCTTTATTCCTACATGGACCCTGACCACAAATATTTGCTATGGTCCCTATACATGCCAAACCTCTCTTACAATGCCCTATAAAGCTTTGTGCCTGTGCTGACAGTTGCCCAGGTAAATAATGCCTACCTTTTTAATTTCACTAGCCTACTTGACTGATCTTATCCTCCTCCACTACTTGTTACAGCAGGCAATCTTGTGAAGAGCCTCACAGGATGTGCCACAGGCTAAATTCCTTGGAGCAGCTGGAACATTTGCAATGAACACTGCTGCAAGCCCTTCCTCTGCTGTACCCTCCTTTCTTCCCCTACCTGAGGGCCAGGTTACCTGGAACAATTTCCTCCCTTGGGGAAGGATGCAAGCAGCACCTTCTGGACTTATACTGGCCTGCTTCTTGTTTTTTGTATAAATGTGACTTCCTGGAAGTTGGTATGAAACACTAATCTAGCCCTGACCTTCATCTGAACTGTAATTTCAAATAAAATTAGGTGCTAAATTGAACCATATAAAACATGAATACAATGTCATATTACAGCGAAAGTTTTCAGGCTCCTAAACATGCCCTGTTGCAACTGTGTCCTTCCTATCTTGGTAATGCAGCTGGGGTTACTCAAGGGAGGACACATGAGTTGAGCTGCCCCTTAGGTCTCCAGATTCTACCCTCAGGAGCAGAGGTATGCTTGATGGGAGTGGTCCTGTCTGATTTAAAGTCCTAGTTTCAATTTGTCATTCTTTTTTTTGGTACTGGAGATTAAACTCAGGACCTTGTACTTGTGAGGCAGGCGCTGTGCTACTGAGCTACATCCCCCACCCTCCTACTTGCAGTCTGAAACTCAGTGAGTGCTGTTTTCTTCTCATGCCATAACAACGTACCAACTTATAAATCACCAGGAAACAGGAAGCTAGAAACACATTGCTGTGGAGGGTGGCCACTAAACAGCAGCCCTGCCAGATCCAAGCTGCTGTCCTCTTACCACAAACAGTTCTGATCAAGCCTTCTTCATTCCCAAGAGGTGTACCTGCCAAGCTAGATGATGCCCAAGGAGGAGCATGAGGTGACCGTGCTGGGGGGACCCCACCACCCAGCTCTGGTGACTTCCACCATAATCAACATTCCGAGTGACAACCCTGTGCGTGATCATGTGGTCTGGTCCCTCTTCAACACGGTCTTCATGAACACGTGCTGCCTGGGTTTCATAGCCTTTGCCTACTCCATAAAGGTGGGTATCCTGGGGATGATGTTCTGGGAAGGAGCTGTAAACCTCAGTTCCAGCTTCCTGGACAGCACCTGGGTTTGTCTGTGGGTGTGCATGCACGTTCATGTGTGTGTGTGTGTGTGTGTGTGTGTGTGTGTGTGTGTGTTAAAGAAGCTCCTAGCATAGGGATAAGGTGAGATGCCAGGGCATCTTGGAGTCACACTTGGTTCCCACCCACCCAGAGGAATTCTCCCCCTGCCTATACCAGCCCCAGGCTGTCTGGGAGCTGCAAAGGACCCACAAGACACTTTACCCCTGGGAGTGAGCGGCCAGCACATGGGCCTCCTGAATGTGAGAGGGGGGTGTCCCTGACCAGAGTGAGGGCAAGGGGATCCTGGCTTGGCAGGGCAACCCTGGGGCCCCCCAGTCAATGACCTGGCTTTTCTCTGACCCAGTGTAGGGCCCTCACTCTCTGTTTTCCCCCAGTCCAGAGACAGGAAGATGGTGGGCGATTTGATCGGGGCCCAGAGCTACGCTTCCACCTCCAAGTGGCTGAACATCATTTCCACGGTTCTTACCATCATCCTCACTGTTGTCTTCATTATTGTATATTCCGCAGTCATCGTGGCAGTCTTCCAACGCCTGTCACAGCGCTATTAGTCTTGAGGCTTCCTTCTCTCACAGCTGCTCTGGCCCTGGGCCAGGCCTTTCCCTGTACCCCACACCCTTAGCAACTGTCCACAATTGGGCTCAATAAAGTGTGTGTTCCTACAGTGCCATGATATGTTCTGGGGAGGGAATATCACTCACTGTCTGCATTTTTGTCCTGAGATAAGCCCACCCTTGGTGCAGTGTCTCTGAAAGGAGCAGGGCAAGTTCTTAGGTTGGAGGTCTCTGGGTGCTTGCTGTGGGGAGGGGCAGCTCATTGGGGTCCTGCTGTGTCCCCTTTCACATTTTTCTGACCACAGCCAGCATTCCCTGACTCCAAGCCAATCCTGTCTACTCCAGCAGTAATATGTCCAGCTTTGGCCTTGGGGAGCCTCTGTGGCTTTTATATTCTTGGGGCAAGTCCTGGAGCTGGGCTCCGCCTTCCTGGCCCATCCAGCTCTGGTTCCATCCTGGCTGCTGCCTCCAGTGTACTCAACATTGAACTCTCCTTGGGTGTGTCTGGTGTGACTGCCATTGCCTGAGGGAGGTCAGAAGACAAAGGTCAGACTTGGTGACTTCTTGTCCCTGGGACAGACCCTGATGTCTGAATCTTTAGAGATCTGGCCTTCCTAGAGAAGGAGCTGTTCTGTGAAGGTTGGGGAGTACTGCTGCTCCTGGCTGGGCTGGGTTGGGCTGGGTCAGGCAGGGACTCCCACAATCCTGGCAATCTGCAGCTGCTCACACATCCCACTTGCCAGGCACCTCAAGCCAAGGGCTCCACCAGTTGTCCCTTTTCTGCCTTGGACCAACCAAGTCCCCTGACACTTTGGGCCCTGTGGGTCCTAATTTTGGGGGTCTATGGAGAGTGTAGGGTCCCTGAGCTGAAAATGAGCATGTGGGAGGGCAAACTTTCTCTGTATTCCTGGGAAATGAGGATGGAGATGGCTTGGAGTGTTATGGGTGAGCGAGTTGGAACAATAGAGATGTGCCACACTCTGAGCCAGAACTGAGCCCATTTTATTTACAGCCAGGGACTGAGAGGGGGTTAGTGCCCAGAAAGTTCTCTTGGCCCTGATAAATTTTTTGATTTCTCCTTTTAAATCAGGCTTTTAGATGGAGAGGGCTCAAGGGGAGAGAAAGCAGAAGCAGAACCATGCCAGATTAGGAGGGTGAGAAAAAGGAAGTTTCACACACTAGGTGAGCTACAAAATGTCCTGCAATTGCAGCAAGTTTACTGTCAAACAGAATGTGGGTTTTGTGTGCTTTGTCCAAGCACAAGCACATAGTAGTGGTAAGACTTAAGATGGAGTTGGGTTGGTTAGCACATTCTCAACTCCTCTAAGCATAATGTCAAAGCATTGACTCAATGAGAGCCTCTTGAGTGGGCAAGGGATTATACAAGGGATAGTAGGATCTCATATACATGCATTGAATAGTGGCTATGAACTGTTTTATGAAGTTGATTATCCAAAGAATACAGGGGCCAATCAAGAGCTCAAGAAAAAGCAGATGAAGAGACCAGCCAGTCTCTTGGGTAGTTGCCCAAGGGCTCCAACTGAACAGGTTATGATACCATGAGTTTTTGCTTTTCCTCTCCTTCTGATGTCTATCTAGATTTACACTGACCTTTTGAAGGGTATTGTGGATTACACCAGACTTGTTGGCATAGAAACAACATGCCTACCCTAGAGCAGCACATAATCCACTCTGTGACAAGAGCACTAGATCAAGCCCTCTTTGATTTTGGACGACCATCTTAGCTAGTGACTCTACTTGGGAGTGCAGAGTCTCAGTGGCATATTATATGCCATTCCTGGGTCAGTGTCTACCTGTTCTGCTAAAGCTGAGTCCAAGTTCTTTTTAGCCAATGCAGCAGTTCCAAGTACCACTGAACCACATACCCCCAACCCCAACAAAATTGGAATGACTCTGGGGGCTGCTTGCTTTTGTCTGTATAGTAGTTCTGGGGGTGCTATGAAATCACATCCTTGTAATCCTCAGTACACATATACTTGAGGGAGAACTCAAACCAGGACACACAAGACCACAGGTCTAGTATCTCCCGCAGAAGTTTTGACACACCTAGTGGATCCCAAGATACAAGCTAGCCAAGTGCTGTTAGGGGTAAAATAAGCTTTTGAGGTTTCCAGAATCAAGGTTTGGCTACACACAGCATGGAAAGGGGACTTATTCATATCATAAGAAGAAGTTGACAGACAAGGTGCCTTCCCAGAAACTTCACCAATTGTCATGGGGGGCTTTGTAGAGGTGCACACTAAGGCTGTACTTAAGGTTTTGATTGGGTCCAAGGCTCCCACATAATGAGCCTTTCCTATTAGACAGAGCCAACAGTTCTGAGTCAGGTCTGGTTGAGTCAGGTTAGTATGGATGGCTCCCAACATCATGGAGAATAGGGAGGGAGACAGCACATGTGAAGGGCCTGGTTGTTTGGTAGCTAAGAGCAGATACTTTGAGAGAGTGGTAACAGTGTGAGGCTCAAGCAAGGGGTCCTTTACTTTCATTAGGGGTCCTATTGGCTGTCTTGATGCCTGGCTTAGCAACTGGGTCTGAAAGGTAATGGCTGCCCCTGGGTCAGGAATAAGTCCTCCTGGGAGCCAGAAGTGGAAGCACCAATTCCATCTTGTCCAGTTACAGTCCTGGGGTCTTTGTATCAGAATCATGACTTGGCACTCATATTTTCAAACTATGATATCATTAGTGACATTTGGTCCCCTACTATATGAGGTGATCTTTATGCAGTCCCAGTTAGGGAAATAGAAATCAGTTGGGGACCCATAACCTTGCTGTCCAAACAGATTGAATCCTGGGCACACATAAGAATCACAGCTTCTCAGGTTTATAACCTGGTAGTAGTAGCCCCCTCAATATCTTCTAACCAATTTACAGAGGTCGACCTTGGGCAACCTAAGAGGTTGCTGGGGGTGGATGGTACCAAAAGTAACCTTATGTAGAATTTCTCCCAAGCTAAAGGAGGTGAGGAGAAAAGAGGACAACTAGTGGACTAGCCTTGGTGTTAAAGGATCAGGTCTCAGATCAGCAGTCTACTGTTTTGCCCAGTTGCCGCATGAATGGTGAATCCACATCACTATTCAGTCAACCTTGAGAGCCGAGGGCATTGTGAGGATGACATGTAGGGTCTCTTTCTGGCTGGAGTCAGTTCTTCACTCCAAAAGGTGAAAGGGGGGTTCGCGTGCCCTTTTGGGTGCCCCTTCCCAATTAGGCCACTCACACACCGAGAGGTCCGGCAGGAGATCTTTATTGTAGGGAGGTGAGCAGGAGGCAGGAAGGCAGAGAGAGAGAGAG